AAAAAAAAAAAGACCATGGAGAGTGGGAATATAATTTGAAAGGCACTTTTCGTAAAGCAATTTGTCAGTGTCTACTGACGTTTTAAACGTACATTCATTTTGACCCAGATATTCCACTTTTTGGTATCTACATGCTTTTCAATGTGTACAAAGAGGTTCAAGGATATTCATTTCAGTCTTCTTTTTAACAGTGAAATACAAATATCACAAATGTCCATTCAAGGACGAACGTTTAAATAATCTATAATACACACACTTTATGTAGTCACACTATGCAGCATTTAAAAAAAGATAGATCTAAATGAACTACACAGAAAAATTTCCAGAACATAGTGTTGATTGTAAAAAAAAAAAAGCAAATTGCAGAACAACAGAAAACAAAAGGTTATCAATCAGAAGAGTCCTTTTTTTTTTTTTTTTTTTAAAGATAACTTGATGGGAGATGAAGGAAAGGAGGACAGAGGTCAGAAACACAAATTTCAGTTAAGAGGACTGCTGAGGGCGCCTGGGGGGCTCAGTCGGGTAAGCGACTGCCTTCGGCTCAGGTCATGATCCTGGAGTCTCGGGATCGAGTCCCGCATCGGTCTCCCTTTTTCTTTTAACTTTTCTGCCAAGAGAATTTTCTTCAATAGTTCTTTTACCCTTTTAATAATATCTTCCCCATCTCCTATCAGGTAGAGTTAGACAGGCCTTAGTGGTCTCTCTTAGCACTTTACTTAAATACTTTTTTTAAAAAAAGATTTTATTTATTTGAGAGAGCGAGCGAGCATGATTCGGGGGGTGGGCAGGCAGTGGGAGAGGGAGAAACAGGTTCTCTGCTGAGCAGGGAGCCGGACACAGGGCTAGATCCCAGGACCCTGGGATCATGACCTGAGCCGAAGGCAGACGCTTAACGACTGAGCCACCCAGGCGCCCCTACCTGGTTAATTTTAAAACCACTTATGAAGGAAGAGAAAGGGAGATTCTGAGATAAAGATAATGATACTGGTTTGCGTTATGTTCCTGTTGGATACCTACCTGCAGTGTTCTAGCAGAAGTATGAAAGCTTAGGAGGACAGGTACTCAATGAATGTTTATTGAAAACTTTTTTTTTTAAGCTTTTATTTATTTGACAGAGAGAGACACAGAGAGAGAGGGAACATAAGCAGGGGGAGTGGAAGAGGGAGAAGCAGGCTTCCCGCCAGGCAGGGAGCCCGATGCAGGGCTCGAACCCAGGACCCTGGGATCATGACCCGAGCCGAAGGCAGATGCTTAACGACTGAGCCACCCAGGAGGCTCTGCTGAAAACATTTCTATCCTTAGCAATTAGGCTGCAGTATAAGGTCATTAACATCAGGCAAGTGCTCGGTTCCCAAGAGGGCTATCCACGGAAACACAGCTTATCTGCAACCCCCTCATAGTTCTTAGCCATTCCCCAGAGCCCACTGTTGCTATCAACAACCTCAATCCTGCACAGCAGTGACAGTGCCGGTCAGGACCTGGGGAAGACCAGAGGCGTCTACCCATCATCAGAGGTGTGTCATGATTTCCATCATTATAAAGAATTTTCTAGTGTTAAGGCTAGGATCAAACCAAATGTTTAATAGTGTATATGGGGGGGGGGGCACCTGGGTGGCTCAGTCGTTAAGCATCTGCCTTCAGATCAGGTCATGATCCCAGGATCCTGGGCTTGAGACCCGCATCAGGTTCCCTACTCAAGAGGAAAGCCTGCTTCTCCCTCTCCCACTCCCTCTGCTTGTGTTCCCTCTCTCACTATGTCCCTCTGTCAAATAACTAAAATCTTAAAAAAAAAAAAAAAGTGTATATGGGGTGCCTGGTTGGCTCAGTCAGCAGAGCACTGCAACTCTCAATCTCAGGTTCATGAGTTCAAGCCCCACACTGGGCAGGGAGCCTACTTTAAAAAAATAATAATAAATGAATGAATGAATAATGTATACGAATGGGATGACAGAAGAAATAATCATGCAGATTAGCTTTTCCTCCGGTGATACTAGTTCCTAGCTCACCCAGAAAATAGAGCTTACCTAGGTCAAAAGATGCCTGTAGATATTATCAATTTTTCATAGCACATAACAAAAATATAACTAGTATCAGGGAGAGAGCAAACAGTCAGCAAATGCAAACTGTGTTAATTTCTACAAAGCCTATTAAGATATGAAGGCATTCCTTGATAACATTTATAAAATTACATTCAGCGAGTATTTCCTTGGTAATTGCTCTAAGAAGATAATGGGAGTCCTTAAATTCCAAGTCCTTAAATCTATCTCCTTAGGAAGAGATCTATTTCTATATTCTCCTTCTCCAAAGACAGAATGTCGCTGGCCTTGGATAGGACCTACAAAGCTGTTTGTGTAGACAACTAGATGGTCACAGAAATTACATGTCCTGGCCTCAGCCCAAGGTCCTTCTGGTTACTACAAACAACCCAGGTTCCGTCCCCAGTGAATAAGCACCTCACGGCACTAAGAGCTCCCTGCTTTATAGGGCTCCATGGGCTAATGCATGCTATCTCCTTGGAAAAAAGGATAAGGCAGCTCCTTGGGGAGGCAAGGAGCCTTGGGGCCTGATGAAACACCACAGCCCTAGAGAAGCATACAGTCCCAATGCTGAAGGGAACCCTAGAGATCAAGCCCATATTCACAGTTCACAAACAGAGGCCCCGCGGTGAGACAGCCTCGCTAAGCCCAGGCCTCTGACTCAGGGTTCGGGGTTCTTTCCATCCTTCATTCTAAGTGTCCACGGGTGGAGGGTCACTTAACACATTACCATCCAGTGCCATCCCAAGAGTTTCCTTCTCACAATTTACGTTTTTGGCGGAATCTACCCTGAATATACATACAGTTCAGAACGAACTAAAACTGGAGAGGT